TACACCCACACCCGTCTTCAATTATTTCAATACTTACCACAAGATTTATTTATAAAGTTAAACTTTTGAATGCGATCGTTGCCTGAATCAGTAACAAATATATTTCCATAGCTATCGAAACTAAGACTAATCGGAAGTGATAATTGATTAGATTGTGATCCTTCACTATTGCAACCAGCTAAACATCGAAAACTATTTAATCCCCATCGAATTATACGATGATTTCCATGATCGACAATAAAGAGATATTTATCATTATCTAATACAATCCCACTTGGACATTTAAGTGAATTAGTATTATCTAATGATCCATTTCCAACTAATGTTTTTCCATTTAATTTTTTGAATTGAAAAAGTTGAATTCGATCATTACCGCAATCTGCCACATATAAATCAAAATTTATGTCAACAAAGATACCCATAGGACTATGAAGCTGATTTAAAGCAGAGCCATATCCATTTGTTCCAGCTGCAATTGTTGATGCCATTTGATTATTATTTAACCATCTTTTTATAATTATATGTTCATTAAACAACGAACAATATAAAGTATCATTAATATCGATGAAGAGACTGAAGCATGATGAACCAACACTCATAACTTTATTAAAAGTATTTGTATTTAATGTCAATTTATCGACTCGACTATAGTTCCTGCCATTGTCAATATAAATATCACCAATCGTTGTAACGAACATAGAATATGAATCACCGATACTATTAGAATTAATTTTATTTGGGTCAATACTATTATTAATCCACATTAAAACTACATTCTTCTCTCGATTAAAAGAATAAAATGTGTTATTTTTATTGATAAACAAGACGTATGGTCGATTACCAACACTTGTATGATTAACAAAAGTAATTCCATGTGGATTCCAATCTGCTGTTGGACAAAACTTCGGTTGATTAAATGAAAATGCTAAAATAAAAAAAAACATTCAATAAAAATCTCTTAGTTTTATTTCAATTGAAATAATCAAAAACAAAAATCTCTATTCTTATTAGTCTAATCACAATTTTTACAATAAATATCATCGATAAAATCAAATGATAAAGTTATTCTCTTATTAGAAAATATATTCATCTTTTGTATAGTTTTAGATAAATCCTTGTATATGTCTAACCTTCTTAGAAATAAACACGAATCATTTGATAAATATTCATTTTTGTAAAAACATCGAAACTCATATGATTAAACTGTGAAATCTTGAGGGTGTGAGTGTGGTGAGTGCGGGTACTATCCTTTTCATTCTTATTCATTAATTTTACCCACATTTTCACTCACACACACACCTACACTTTAAATATACCTAAAAGAGACCATTAATAAATGTCAACGATTACCTGATCTCCGATTGATCATAACCAACAGAACCGTGACGAAAATGTTGAAATTATTCGTTATAATCATCTTGGATAATATTTTTTGTTTAGCAATGATAAAGAAAAAAGAAAACTTTGTAAGTAACTAGACGTTTGATGTTCTTGTTCGATGAAAACAAATGTAATTAATTCTTTACTTCTTCATTCTTTATATCTCTTCTCTTTTCTCTTCTTCTCTCCTCATTATCAACAAATATCATACACAAAAATAACAAGTCTCTAAAGAAGGTCCTTTATTGATAATTATGATTATTATTGTTGAGATCTAATTGAAAATTCGTAAAATGATTTTATTTTCAGGAAAATACATAATTAAATTTACAATTTTTCAATAATGAAATTTATTTAGAAGAATATTTTGTAAATAAAAGACGTGACAAAAAAAAGAAATAATTTTGCTGAAAACGTGTGGTAATACCCAAACGTGATTAAAGTCAAAATAAAGTATCAATTTCAATGATCAATAAATGATTGACGCCAATAAACATTCTTTATCACGTTCTTTTTATGTTTTCTTTTCTTCCATGAATAATATAATAAAATCTCCTATAAAACAAGTGATGCTCGTGGTAACTATTCATCACACTCTGCTGAAACAAAAATATCATAGTATCTTATAATAAATATAGACGATATTCAGAGAAATTTAATTGTTTGTATCATTTATCATAGATCAAAATGAATAAAAAAAAATAATGAACAGAATAAGAGACACTTTGTTGAGTAGTGTCGTTGCTGCACGTCAAATATGCTCAAATCAACAGTTGTAAATTCTCTCTCCGTTTTCGCAAAACTGGATGTATTGAATAATCAAATACTGCACGTAGCTTATATTTCCTGATAAACGCTTGCTATATGTAGTCGCTCTGTGTAAAACACGTGTATTTTAAATGCAAAACAGTCACATAGACTATTGAAATGTGATATTATGCTTTTGAAAGGGGATGCTTTAATCATTTAATTATTAGAAAAAAAAGAATTATACATTTTGAAGTTCTTGAGGATATGGATGAGGTGTGGGTGAGTGAGAGCGTGATGAAAGAGTACTCACATCCTCATCCACACCCACACCCTCAAACAATATTTTGCTGAACTGTAATCCTATACAAATACATTGACAAATAAATAAAAGGTTAAACACGAAAAGCAGATTATTAAAGACAATATATAACATTAAAATATTCAAATTTATCCGTTTTTCGTTACTTGATAAAGATTTCTTCCGTTCTTGGTGTAATGTAAAGCTAAAAATTCAACAATAATAAACATGTATTATAATAACAATTGTACGTACTCGAGTAATTGCATCTATTAATTCATCAATTTTCTTTGGAAAACGTTCAATTGGATTAAAATGTTCTGATCGCGTCAATGCATCTTGTTCTTCTTCATTCGTTTGTTTTAAACCTATCCATCGTTGAAATTTGTTTAACATATATGAAAATATTTCTTGCTTATCATTAACACTTTCTCGTGCACGACGAAAACTGTCATTAATAATTGTAATAAACATACTCATACAAACAAAAACAACCAAAATAATATATAAACTAAAACAAAAGGGTCCTAAAAATGGTGCAGCTCCACTTAATTCATGTGCATCAAATTTCATTAATGACATTTCAAATAACATTTGTGATGTTTTTAATAAACTTGAACATTCATCAAGTTGCGAAACAAATAATAAATAAAATAAACAAATAAATGACATAAAAACAATTGAAAACATCATTGCGAATGAAATCAATTCTTTTCCAGCATATTGAAGTGTATGAATAAATAAATTCATACGTTGATTAAAACGACATAGACGAATAAATTTAATTGTACCAAAAAAACAACAAAATCCAAATAAAAATGTTAATATATCATTAATATATGATGCTAATTGTAAATTTATATAAACATATCCATTTGTTTCTTCAAATAATTCTCCAATACGTTTACATTCTTTATAACGCCAAACATATATTCCAACACTTGTCCATGAACAAACTATTATACCAACTTCAATGTAAGACCAAAATCGATGAAAATAATTCCATTTTAATTTTAATAGTAATCGACTTTCTATCCACATAAAGTATATAATCATTATCATATAAACAATTATACTGATCAATTGAAACATTGATGTAAATACTAAATTTAAGAGAAACGGATATTATGTTATTATTAATCATCAAAATAAAATTACCATCAAAACTCATTGGTTCAAAACGAGATGAAAGATAAATTCCACCTGTTGATAAAAATTCCGTAAGAAAGATAACTGATGTAAATAATTGAGCATTTGGATTATATAAACTTAATT